GAAACTGCTCAAGATCAAAGGCTCTTCAGGAAATCTTGCTGACCTCAAGCCTGGAGGTGGACCTCAGTGGCAGGGACTTCAGTAATATGCTTGAGGCCCTGGGTTCAATCTCCAGCTCCACAAAAGAACAAATTTAAAAAATAAATAAATCTTGTTGACCACACCAAAACAATAATAGAGAAACAGTAACCTTTCTAAAACTCATGTGACAATCCTAAAACTATGTAGAAACACAGACCTGTACAGTTCGTACCCAACTACAAAGAGTTTAATCTATACTCTCTTCAAGCCATTCTGCTGCAGAGTATATTCCCGGAAACTTATCCAACCTTGAATGGCCTCCAGGTTGATTTGTTTTTTTTTCTCTACAAATAATAAGTGATGAAAATCAGGATCATGACACTCGATCCAATGAATATAAAATGAATAAAAACAATCCCTAACGCTGGAAAAGAATGCCTTAGTTGGAAAAAAAAAAATGAAATTCACAAATAACTGACGTTCGATATAAAGTATCTAAATATCTGAATGACTTCTACACACAGCCCTTTTAACTAGTACATACAGTAACTAAACCATTAATCAAACGTAACTAAACTGCTACAAAAAAACTCCTTGGTTCCTTGGGATACTTCCTAGAAAGCAGATCCTCATAAGAGAAGGAATTCTAAGTCTTTACCTCCACGTAACACCACAGTTGAAAGAACAAGATAAAGCGAAGTAAGTATCGACCAGAAAGCAAATTCGACAGCAAAAAAAATAATGTATCGGGAAACATAAAGACACATGTAACAGTTACCCACAATGAATGTAATCATTGCAAAAACATGTACTAATAAAAAAGAACTTCTAAGAAAGAAACTATCATTGTTACTTCACCCTAAAACATACTTTGAAAAGCAAAACCAGCCATAAGATCCCATGGCCCCTTAACTTCTGAAGGTTTCAGTGATAATCTATATTCCTAGGGAAAAGGGATCACAAAGTAATCAAATACATTGTGTGCAAAAAATAACTGGTAAAATGGGAGGGGGGAAAATGTAAACCCGTAAGTTACCCAAAGTGATTTAGGCTGCCCTGAATGATCTGCCGGGAAAATGGGGGTCGTCACATTCCAGTTTCCCTACCACCAAAAAGAAGAACAAGACACTGCTCAGAGAAACCAGGGGCCTGGCTTCACCAGCCTCCGACTCCAGGGTTCCTTAAAAGGTCCGACTTCGTGGGGATCCGCTGTGCAACTGAGTCTTGACAACAGCAGCGTTAGGTGGAAGAGGAGAAAGGGAAGAGGGTCCCACGGCTCTGGAAAGCGCTTTCCACACGCCCGAGAGGACCGAACCCACGTCCCCGTCTCTGGACTGCCCGGGGCCGCCCAGCTCCTCGCCCCTTCCGGCTTCCCCTGCAGCGCCCTGGGCCGCACCCCCGCACGCA